ATACTGTATACACACTACAGAGATAATATATAGCACATATATACCGTATACACAATACAGAGATAATATAGCACATATATACTGTAAACACACTACAGAGATATACAGCACATATATACTGTATACACAATACAGAGATAATATATAGCACATACAGTTGCAAGAAAAAGTATGTGAACCCCTTTGGATTACGTGGAGTTTTGCATGAATTGGGCATAAAATGTGCTCTGAACGTCATCTAAGTCACAACAATAGAAGAACACAGTCTGCTGAACATAATACTACACAAACATTAGATGTTGCCATGGTTTAATTGCACATAACATGTAAACATTCACAGTGCAGGGAGGAAAAAGTATGTGAACCTTTGGACTTAATAACTGGTTGACCCTCCTTCGGCAGCAATAACCTCAACCAAACATTTCCTGTAGTTGCAGATCAGACCTGCACAACGATCTGGAGTAATTTTGGACCACTCCTCTTCACAAAACTGTTTCAGTGTAGCAATATTCTTGGGATGTCTGGTGTGAATCGCTCTCTTAAGGTCATGCCACAGCATTTCAATCGGGTTGAGGTCAGGACTCTGACTGGGCCACTCCAGAAGGCGTTATTCTGTGCTGTTGCAGCCATTGTTTTGTTGAATTACTTGTATGCTTTGGGTCATTGTCCTGTTGCATCACCCATCCTCTGCGGAGCTTCAGTTGGCGGACAGATGGTCGTACGTTTTCCTGCAAAATGTCTTGATAAACTCTGGAATTCATTTTCCCATCAATGACGACAAGCCGTCCAGGCCCTGAGGCAGCAAAGCAGCCCCAAACCATGATGCTTCCTCCGCCATGTTTCACAGTGGGGATGAGGTTTTGATGTTGGTGTGCTGGCCTTTTTTTCTCCACACATAGTGTTGTGTGTTCTTCCCAAACAACTCAATCTTGGTTTCATCTGTCCACAGTATATTTTGCCAGTAGTGCTGCGGAACATCCAGGTGCTCTTTTGCAAACTTCAAACGTGCTGCAATATTCTTTTTGGACAGCAATGGCTTCCTCCGTGGTGTCCTCCCATGTACTCCATTCTTGTTTAATGTTTTCCTTATTGTAGATGTGTCAACAAAAATGTTAGCATGTGCCAGAGATTTCTGTAGGTCTTTAGCGGACACTCTGGGATTCTTCTTTACCTCATGCAGCATTCTGCGCTGTGCTCTTGCAGTCATTTTTACAGGACGACCACGCCTAGGGAGAGTAGCAACAGTGCTAAACTTTCTCCATTTGTAGACAGTCTGTCTTACCGTGGACACATGAACATCAGGCTTTTGGAGATACTTTTGTAACCCTTTCCAGCTTCATGCAAGTCAACAATTCTTGATCGTAGGTCTTCTGATAGCTCTTTTCTGCGAGGCATGGTCCACATCAGACAGTGCTTCTTGAAACCAGTAAACCCAAAACAGGTGTGTGTTTTTTAAGGGCAGGACAGCTGTCAGCAACACATCCAATATCATCACACTGATTGGAGTCAAGGTTGGCTCACTCCTGGCTCCAATTAGCTCTGGGAGAAGTCATTAAGCTAGGGCTTTCACATACTTTTTCCTCCCTGCACTGTGAATGTTTACATGTTATGTGCAATTAAACCATGGCAACATCTAATGTTTGTGTAGTATTATGTTCAGCAGACTGTGTTTCTTCTATTGTTGTGACTTAGATGACATTCAGAGCACATTTTATGCCCAATTCATGCTAAACTCCATGTAATCCCAAGGGGTTCACATACTCTTGCAACTGTATATACTGTATATACACACTACAGAGATAATAATACAGCACATATATACTGTATACACACTACAGAGATAATACATGCACATATATACTGTATACACACTACAGAGATAATACATAGCACATATATACTGTATTACACACTACAGAGATATATACAGCACATATAACACTGTATACACACTGCAGAGATAGTATATAGCACATGTATACTGTATACACACATACAGAGAGTATATAGCACATATATACCGTATACACAATACAGAGAGTATATAGCACATATATACTGTAATACACAATACAGAGAGTATATAGCACATATATACTGTATACACACTACAGAGATAATACATAGCACATATATACTGTATACACACTGCAGAGATAATATAGCACATGTATACCGTATACACACTGCAGAGATAATATATAGCACATTATACTGTATACACACTGCAGAGATAATATACATTACATATATACTATATACACACTACAGAGATAATATACATTACATATATACTGTATACACAATACAGAGATAGTATATAGAACATATATACTGTATACACACTACAGAGATGATATATAGCACATATATACATATAACTCTCCAACCCTCCAAAATATTCAATGAGATCCCCTGACTTGAGGTTTTGGCCACCTTGAAGAGTAATCTGTAGTAAATCACAATGGATGGATTCTTTTTAGTAAGACCCCCCCCCCCCCCTCCTAGACAGCAGGTTTATGAGTATAAATTATCATCAACTACAGTCCATGAGCTACGAGATACCAAAATACGGTCTTCCACCATCATAGTTGACCATCAGCCAGGCTACACTTTCTGGATATCTTTCATTTTTTCCTGAGCTTCCTAATTGTTTGTGGTTTGGTTGTTGATATGAATGTTGAAAGTTTTGATGTGGAGCCTCTGGCTCTGTTAGCAGCTGAGTTGTCAGCCCGGAAAACAACGTATTCCTGGAGTTGGCTGTCCAATGGCCAATTGAGAAAGCTTGTATGGCAGGCTGACAACACTGCTGCTAATTCCAAGGCAGTAACTTAGAATCATCCAAGGTGGATCACTTTTCAGAGGCATTTGACAGGTAGACCAGAGGTGATATGTTGCCTCCAGGACACCTGTTAACCCTTGACTGTAGCACCACGCCACCTTATGCATTACCTACAGTTGCAGAGGGGTTGTAGCACAGCCCTGTTCACTTGAATGGGTCGTACTTGGTGGTGGTACTGCCCACTGAATGTGACCTGTGGTACAATTTTTGCCACACCCTAGTTAACTGGCTGCTGGCTGGTTTGGGGGGGGGGGGGGTAAAACTACAGTTGGCCTGTCTGTTTTTACCAAAGCCCATGTAGACAAGGACTTTGTGCTGTTGGCATTTTTTTTTCTTTTGGTGGAGGATGCGGGCAATGATCCCGCTACCTTTTCGCAGTTGTTAGTCTTTAACAGGAAGTGCTGTTACTGAGAAGATCTCCAGGTAGGAAACTTTGCTAAAGATTAAAAAAAAAGAACTTGCCTAAAAGTGTATACAATGAGGCATGATGTTCAATATAATGTAGCATTGTGGGGTTACATACACTTTAAACATTTGGCATGTCTATAGATAGTTGTCCTCTTGTGCCCCCTGTGCCTTCTGCTTCTCCTGTTCCTCCTGCTCCTCTGGCTCCTTCTGTTCCTCCGGCTCCTCCAGCTCCTCCTGCTGCTCCGGCTCCTCCTGTTCCTCCGGCTCCTCCTGTTTTTTTTGTGGGGTTTGGCGGATTAAGTCCTTCCTTCACCTTTTCTTTACAATCGTTTCTTATTTTCTCCAAATTCATCAAGGTGTCAGACCCTTCAACTTTTACTAATGGCCATTTTAGGTCTTTAAGTATGGACTTTACAAGCTCCTCCTGCTTCATTTTTTGTTTGTTTTTCTATGACGTCATCAGTGACCCAAAGTAATATATCTTCATATCTCTTTGCATATCGCTTGGACTTTGGGAAGCACATACAAAAAAAAATTGTAATACAGATGAATGAAATGCCAACTATCTGTAAAAAAAAAAAGAACAAAGTAGCGACTTGAGTCTCATGCTAGACATGTGCACAGGCGAAATATTCATTTCATTTTTTATTCATTTTATTGGTTAATTGAAGAGTTTCGCTTCATCATATTCGTTATGTTCAATAGATTTGTTTTTGGGATTCGATTCATTTTTTTGTATGTTTGTTTTTCATCGGAAGGATTCAATAATTTCTCATCTGATCCAAATTCTTTGTGAAGAATAGCTGGGTATTAACCACCTCCCGTCCGGCCCATGTATATAAAAGGCTGGACTGTGGCAGTGCAGGGAAGGGTGGCCGTTTGTAAACGGCCTCCCCGCCCCCTGCTTGTGCACGCTCCGCAGCACCTCGATCCGGTGTCCTCCGGACACAGTGGAACACCGATCATTGGATGGGACCTCTGTACGAGGTCCCGATCATGTGATTACTGATTGGCCTATCAGTGATCACATGCAGATTAGTATGCAAGATGTCACTTGTGACATCATTGCTTACTACGTGTGAAATCTGTGAATGATCACAGAGATCACATGGTACAGGGCTATTCACAACAGCCTTGTACCATGTGACAAGCTGTGACCAATCCCAGCTCACACAGTAGTTCTCAATGGCTGCAAGAATGCAGCCACAGAGAAGGAGAAGTGATTGCTTTTACAGCCTCTATGGGGGTGTAAAAGCAATCAGTGTAAAAAAAAACAAATCTTCATCACCCCCCAGAAGTAGTGGCATGGTGACACTGTACTACTAGGGGTGACAGTATGTAAAAAAAAAAAAACCTAAATAATAATTTAAAAAAATAAAAATGTAAAAAAAAATGTTTACAAATTCTAATTTTTGGTTATAAACTAAAAAATAACGGAATAAATTTTGCTGAAGTATTATTTATTTGCAAAAATTTTATAAGAAAAACACTTTTTTTCAAAATTTTTGGACTTTTTCATTTACATAGCAAGAAAAATAAAAATCCCAGCGGTGAATAAATACCACCAAAATAAAGCTTTATCTGTCTCAAAAAAATGCTAAAAAATACACATGGGGTACAGTGTTGCATGACCGCGCAATTGTCATTCAAAGTGTGATAGCGCTGAAAGCTGAAAATTGGCCTGGGGGGGAAGGGGGGAAAAGTGTCCAGATTGGAAGGGGGTGAAAGTGTCCGGACTGGAAGGGGGTGAAAGTGTCCAGACTGGAAGGGGGGGAAAGTGTCCGGACTGGAAGGGGGGAGAAGTGTCCGGACTGGAAGGGGGGGGGAAGTGTCCGGACTGGAAGGGGGGGAAGTGTCCGGACTGGAAGGGGGTGAAAGTGTCCGGACTGGAAGGGGGGGAAGTGTCCGGACTGGAAGGGGGGGAAAGTGTCCAGACTGGAAGGGGGGGGAAAGTGTCCGGACTGGAAGGGGGGGGAGGTGTCCGGACTGGAAGGGGGTGAAAGTGTCCGGACTGGAAGGGGGTGAAAGTGTCCGGACTGGAAGTGGGGGAAATGTCCGGACTGGAATGGGGGGAAAGTGTCCAGACAGGAAGGGGGGGGTGTCCGGACTGGAAGGGGGGGGAGTGTCCGGACTGGAAGGGGAGGGAAAGTGTCCGGACTGGAAGGGGGGGAAAGGTGTCCGGACTGGAAGGGGGTGAAAGTGTCCGGACTGGACTGGAAGGGGGTGAAAGTGTCCGGATGGAAGGGGGTGAAAGTGTCCGGGGAAGGCGGGGGAAATGTCCGGAATGGAAGGGGGGGAAAGTGTCCGGACTGGAAGGGGGGGGAGGTGTCCGGACTGGAAGGGGGTGAAAGTGTCCGGACTGGAAGGGGGTGAAAGCGTCCAGATTGGAAGGGGGGGAAAGTGTCCGGACTGGAAGGGGGTGAAAGCGTCCGGACTGGAAGGGGGGTGAAAGCGTCCAGACTGGAAGGGGGGGAAAGCGTCCGGACTGGAAGGGGGGAAAAGTGTCCGGACCGGAAGGGGGGGAAAGTGTCCGGACCGGAAGGGGGGAAAGTGTCCGGACCGGAAGGGGGGGAAAGTGTCCGGACCGGAAGGGGGGGAAAGTGTGTCCGGACCGGAAGGGGGGGAAAGTGTCCGTCCGGAAGGGGGGGAAAAGTGTCCGGACTGGAAGGGGGGAAAGTGTCCGGACTGTAAGGGGGGAAGTGTCCGGACTGGAAGGGGGGGAAAGTGTCCGGACTGGAAGGGGGGGTGAAAGTGTCCGGACTGGGAAGGGGGGGAAAGTGTCCGGGGATGGAGGGGGGGAAAGTGTCCGGACTGGAAGTTGGTTAAGGAGAAGTCCGGCTGTGGCTGTGGCATGGTTAAAGACAATCATGTTAAAAACAAAACAGCGTGAGAGTCCTCCAGTCCATACCAGGGCCTTCGGGGTCTGATATGGATTTTAAAGGGAACCCTACGGCAAAAAAAAAAACACTGTGGGGTCCACCCAAAATCCATACCAGACTCTTATCCAAGCATGCAGCCCGGAAGGCCAGTAAAGGGGGGAACAAGCAAAATACCCCTTACTTCTGAACCATAACTGGCCACATGCTCTCAATATGGGGGGGTTTTTTGGGGGAGGGGAGCTCCCCCCCCAAAAGCTCCTTGTCCCTATGTTGATGGGTACAAAGGTCTCTTTCCCACAACCCCCCCCTGGCTTGGTGGTTGTTGGGGTCTGTGGGCTTATCGGAATCTGGAGGATCCCCTTGTTCTGGAAGCCTCCAGATTCTGCCCCCCCCCCCCCATGTGACCAAGTGTACCCCCTAAAATGTCACCAAAAATGTCAAAAAAGGGGGGGGGGGGGGGGGGGGGGGGGGGGGGGGTGAATAAAAACACAGAGTTTTGGACTTTGTTAAAAAAAAACACCGACCTGCGCAAAAAAAAAAAACACGTCGCCCAGTGAACACGACACATCCCGTCCAGGGACACATGCAAAATGACAGGTAAACATGGAGGCAAGGTTACCTAGTACAAGTGACACTCACCCAATGACGGGTATGCATGAGGGCACAGTCACATGGTGACATCACTGGGTGACCCCGCCTCCTGTCGTTTCGGCGTGCATCCCTGGATGGAACACATTGTGTATGTCAGGCTGCTTTTTTTTTTGTGTGGGTCGGACTTTTTTTTCCTGTCAGTTTAGGTGGACGGCCATGTCTTGGTAGGTTGGCAGTTGTGCTGTACCCTTCCCATTTTTGGATGATGGATTGAACACAGTGCTCCGTGAGATGGTCAAAGCTTGGGAGATTTGTTTTATAACCTAACTCTGCTTTCAACTTCTCTACAACTTTATCCCTGACCTGTCTGGTGCGTTTCTTGGCCTTCAGGATGCTGTTTGTTCACTAATGTTCTCTAACAAACCTCTGAGGGCTTCACAGTACAGCTGGATTTACAGTCAGGTCCATAAATATTGGGACATGGACACAATTCTAACATTTTTGGCTCTATACACCACCACAATGGATTTGAAATGAAATGAACAAGATGTGCTTTAACTGCAGACTATCAGCTTTAATTTGAGGGTATTTACATCCAAATAAGGTGAACGGTGTAGGAATTACAACAGTTTGCATATGTGCCTCCCACTTGTTAAGGGACCAAAAGTAATGGGACAGAATAATAATCATAAATCAAACTTTCACTTTTTAATACTTGGTTACAAATCCTTTGCAGTCAATGACAGCCTGAAGTGTGGAATCAGCATAGACATCACCAGACGCTGGGTGTCATCCCTGGTGATGCTCTGCCAGGCCTCTACTGCAACTGTCTTCAGTTCCTGCTTGTTCTTGGGGCATTTTCCCTTCAGTTTTGTCTTCAGCAAGTGAAATGCTCAATCGGATTCAGGTCAGGTGATTGGCCATTGCAGAACATTCCACTTCTTTGGTTGCTTTTGCAGTCTGCTTTGGGTCATTGTCCATCTGCACTGTGAAGCGTCCAATGAGGTTTGTGAAGCATTTGGCTGAATATGAGCCGATAATATTCCCGAAACACTTCACAATTCATCCGGCTGCTTCTGTCAGCCGTCACATCATCAATAAATACAAGAGAAGCAGTTCCATTGGCAGCCATACATGCCCCGCCATGACACTACCACCACCATGCTTCACTGATGAGGTGGTATGCGACGGATCATGAGCAGTTCCTTCTCCATCCTCTTCTCTTCCCATCACTCTGGTACAAGTTGATGTCGGTCTCATCTGTCCATAGGATGTTGTTCCAGAACTGTGAAGGCTTTTTTACATGTCGTTTGGCAAACTCTAATCTGGCCTTCCTGTTTTTGAGGCTCACCAATGGTTTCCATCTTGTGGTGAACCCTCTGTATTCACTCTGGTGAAGTCTTCTCTTGATTGGTGACTTTGACACACATACACCTACCTCCTGGAGGGTGTTCTTGATCTGGCCAACTGTTGTGAAGGGTGTTTTCTTCACCAGGGAAAGAATTCTTCGCTCATCCACCACAGTTGTTTTCCGTGGTCTTCCGGGTCTTTTGGTGTTGCTGAGCTCACCGGGGCGTTCCTTCTTTTTAAGAATGTTCCAAACAGTTGTTTTGGCCACGCCTAATGTTTTTGCTATCTCTCTGATGGGTTTGTTTTGTTTTTTCAGCCTAATGATGGCTTCACTGATAGTGACAGCTCTTTGGATCTCATCTTGAGAGTTGACAGCAACAGATTCCAAATGCAAATAGCACACTTGAAATGAACTCTGGACCTTTTATCTGCGCATTGTAGTTGGGATAATTAGGGAATAATACACACCTGGCCATGGAACAGCTGAGAAGCCAATTGTCCCATTACTTTTGGTCCCTTAACAAGTGGGAGGCACATATGCAAACTGTTGTAATTCTTACACCGTTCACCTGATTTGGATGTAAATACCCTCAAATTAAAGCTGAAAGTCTGCAGTTAAAAGCACATCTTGTTTGTTACATTTCAAATCCATTGTGGTGGTGTATAGAGCCAAAAATTTTAGAATTGTGTCGATGTCCCAATATTTATGGACCTGACTGTATACTGAGATCACATGACACACAGAGGGACTCTATTTGACTTCTGAAGGCAATTGGTTCCACTAGATTTTAGTTGGGGGTATCGGAGTAAAGGGGGCTGAATAAAAAATGCACACCACACTTTTCAGATATTTATTTTCCTTCCACTTCACAATGATGTGCCACTTTGTGTTGGTCCATCACATAAAATCCCAGTAAAACACATTGACGTTTTTGGTTGTAACATGAAAAATTGTGGAAAGTTTCAAGGAGTATGAATACTTTTTTAATGCACTGTATGGTCTGTTATTTTTTAAGCTGTGGCCGGTGTATACTGTAACACCCCCCTATTATTCAAACTGCAGGATGTCAAAAGACACATGGTGGCAGTGTCCTGCAACTTAGTGACACACTCTGGTGAAAATCTTTATGGACTTTGTAGGCTAACCGCAGGACTTTGCTGTGAGACAGTGAACTAAAAGACTACATTTCCCAGAGGAGCTGGCGAGTTGGTGGGGGGCAGATATATACAGGAGCCTGGGAACGTGGACACAGGAAGTGAGCTGGAGGAGCTGGAAGGTGGGTTTGAAGAAGAGGCTGTGCAAACTGCCGGAGGGCCGGACCAGACCAGACCACAGAAGGAGAGAGTAGGGGAAAGGGGAGAAATTGCTGACCGCTGTCATCGCCGACGAGTCTGATTGACCACCCTGTTGGCTGGTGACCTGGAGTGCTGCTGCCAGGAGTGATCTCTGAGGAAGGATGTGCAGAACCGCTGGCTGCCCCCAACTACAGAAAGATTATCAGTCACCTGGTGGATGCCACAGATCGGCTGGAGGAACTGGAAGGTGGGTTTGAGGAAGAGGCTGTGCGGAATGCCGGAGGACCGGACCAGACCGTAGAGTGAGAGAGTAGGGGAAAGGGAAGAAATTGCTGACCGCTGTCATCGCCGATGAGTCTGCTAGACCACCCTGTTGGCTGGCGATCTGGAGTGCTGCTGCCAGGAGTGATCTCTGAGGAAGGAAGAGCAGATCCGCTGGCCACCCCCAACTACAGAAAGACCGTCAGTCACCTGGTGGATGCCACAGATCGGCTGGAGGAGCTGGAAGGTGGGATGAGAGGCAGAGGCTTCCAGAATGCCAGAGGACCGGACCAGACCGTAGAGTGAGAGAGTGTGGGAAAGGGGAGAAATTGCTGACCGCTGTCATCGCCGATGAGTCTGGTGGACCACCCTGTTGGCTGCTGATATGAAGTACTGCAGCCAGGAGTGATCTCTGGGAAAGGAAGCGCAGAACCGCTGGCCAACCCCAACTACAGAAAGACCATCAGAACCACTGGCCATCCCCACCTACAGAAAGACAGTCAATCACCTGGTGGATGCCACAGATCGGCTGGAGGAGCTCGAAGATTGGTGTGAAGAAGAGGCTTTTTGGAATGCCAGAGGACCGGACCAGATCACAGAGTGAGAGAGTGGAAGAAGGGGCAGAATTTGCTGACCGCTGTCATCGCCGACGAGTCTGGGGGACCACCCTGTTGGCTGGCGATCCAGAGTGCTGCTGCCAGGAGTGATCTGTGAGGAAAGAAGCGCAGAGCCACTGGCTGCCCCCAACTGCAGAAAGACAATCAGTCACCTGGTGGACACCACAGATCGGCTTAGGGGAGCTGGAAGGTGGGTTTGAGGAAGA